CAAAAAAGAATATATGACAATGTCCATTGAAGTTATAGGGGTTATTTGCATTCCCTGTTATAGCATTAAAAGTGATAAAAAAAAAATGAAAGGTACAATGTAAAAATAATAAAAAAAAAATCAAAAATAACTAAAAAAAAAAAAAAAATTACCCCTCCCATGCGCGCACACCTGTGTGCACAAGCATTGACCCTGTGCCGTTATGTAAACAGCGGTTGCACCATGCATGTGAGGTATTGCCGTGAACGTCAGATCAAGGGCAGTAATTCTAACACTAGGCCTCCTCTGTAAATCTAAAATGGTGTGGCTTTTAAAGGCTTTTAAAGCGCTGCCTATGGATATTAAAAATGTTTGCAGTTTGTCGCCATTGAACGGGGCATGCGCAGTTTTAAAGCATGTCATGTTTGGTATCTATTTACTCGGCATACCATTATCTTTTATATTTTACCAAACAATTGGCCAATATATTGTGTTTTTGTGCATTAAAAGTAAAAAAAGTGTATTTTTTAAAAAAAAAATTGCTTTTGAAAAATTGCTGCGCGAGTATTATGTGCCATAAAAAATTGTAGTACCCACCATTTTATTCACTAGGGTGTCTGCTTAAAAAAAATATATAATATTTTGGGGTTTAAATTAATTTCCTAGCAAAAAATACAGATTTTTTTCATGTGAACAAAAAGGCTTGGTCTTCAGGTGGTTAGAAGAGTGAATGATATGTGGCATAAACTTCTAATGTTGGGCATAAAAGGCCCCCACCCCCCAAAATGACCCCTTTTTGGAAAGTAGTCACCCCAAACTATTTGCTGAGAGGAATGTTGAATCAATAGAAGAATTTATTTTTTTACCACAAGTTTTTGGTAAATGACAAAAATAAATATATATTTTTTTTTTTTACACAAAATTGTCACTTAAATGATTTACTGCTCACACATGCCATAGTTATATGTGGAATTACTCCCCAAAATACATTTTTCTACTCCAGAGTATGGGGGTACCACATGTGAGAGACTTTTTGGCAGTCTAGCCAAGTACAGGACCCCAAAATCCAATAAGCACCTTCAGGCTTTAAAGGGCTTTATTTCCTCATTACACTTCCAGACTACCTATCACAGTTTCGGAGGCCCTGAAATGCCAGGATAGCACCTAACCCCCCCAAATTACCCCTTTTTGGAAAGTAGACGCCCCAAGGAATTTGATAAAAAGCACGGTAAGTATTTTGCAGATCTCATTTGTTGCCACAAGTTTTTGGAAAATGAAGAAAAAAAAACAAAAAAAATATTTTTGTTCTATTTTTTTTATAATTCAAACCCTTGTGAGAAAAAAATGAGATCTGCAAAATACTCACCATGCCTCTTTTTAAAGTCCTTGGGGTGTCCACTTTCCAGAAAGGGGTCATTTGGGGGGGTTTGGGGCTATACTGGCATGTCAGGGCCTTCGAAACTGTGATAGGTAGTGAGGAAGTGTAATGAGGAAGTTACGCACCTTCAGGCTTTCAAAGTGGTCATTGGATTTCAGGCTCCTGTATGTGGCTAGGCTCCCAAAAAGTCTCACACATGTGGTATCCCCATACTCAGTAGAAGTAGCAGAATGTATTTTGGGGTGTAATTCCACATATACCCATGGCTTGTGCGAGAAATAAATAATTTAAATGACAAATGAAAAAAGTTTTTGTCATTTTCCAGAAACTTGTGGAAAAAAAATAAATCTTCAATGGACACAATATGCCTCTCAGCAGATAGCTTAGGGTGTCTAATTTCCGAAAAGGGGTCATTTGAGGGTGTTTGTACTATTCTGGTATTTTAGCACCTCAAGAAATGTGATGGGCAGTCAGAAAGTAAAAGCTATGTAAATTCCATTATCTATACCATAGTTTGTAGATGCTATAACTTTCACAAAAAGCAATCAATATACACTTATTGGGATTTTTTTAACCAAAAACATTTAGCAGAATACATTTGGGCTTAAATTTATGACGAAATTTTAGTTTTTTTAGATATTTTTTATCACCAAAATGAGAAAATAGTTTTTTCAAAAAAAATGTTTTTTCTTCAAAAATTTTTTCTGGTTATAGCGCCAAAAATAAAAAGTGCACAGGTGATCAAATGCCACCAAAAGAATGCTCTATTTGTGTTAAAAAAAGGACATCAATTTCATTTATGTACCGTATTGCATGACCGCGCAACTGTCCTTTAAACTAGCGCAGCGCTGTATAGCAAAAAAATGGCGTAAATTGCAGTATCTACACCATAGTTTGTAGATGCTATAACTTTCACACAAAGCAATCAATATACACTTATTGGGATTTTGTTTTACCAAAAACATGTAGCAGAATGCATTTTGGCCTAAATTTTATAACTAACTTTGAGTTTACTATATATTTTTTATAGCTGAAAGTAAAAAATATAGTTTTTATTCAAAAATATTTGGTCTTTTTTTGTTTATAGCGTGAAAAATAAAAAGCGCACAGGTGATCAAATACCACCGAAAGAAAGCTCTATTTGTGTGAAAAAAAGGACGTAAATTTTAATGGACAGTTATATTTTGTTGTGGATAATGCACTTTATTTTTATATATGATGTTTAGCTTTAGGAGCACTGTATATTGACAGTATTGTAATTTTACCACAATTTTGTGTTGCATACAGCTGCTCGAGCTCCAAGTACCTAGCGTAAGTGTTAATGGTTTAAATCTGTAGTCCTATATAGGGTTCACCCCTGAAGGAGCCACTGGTAATGATGGGTCCCTCTGCTCAGCTACAACTCTCTAAACTTCTCATTCCCCCTTGACACACTTGACCATGTACTAAAGACCGTTTACCTGTCGATTTATGAGTTAGCATGCTACCACTCTAAGAATGCACAGGAATGAGGCCACAAACAGCTTGGTAGTAAATTAATTGAATGTATTAAAGCAGTTCAATTCAATACAGTGCAAATCAAAAGATAAATACAGAGACAAAAAAGCACTACCATAGACAAAGAGGCAGCGAATAACTAACTTGCACTTAAAAAAATTGTAGCACTGTTAACATGAATCTTAACTGGGTACTAACAACATTAACCAGATCAGCTGAATCAAAAAAGATCCTGGTGTACACTGTGTGCATACAACCCCAGAAGTGGACGGGTGTGTGCAATCCTAGAGTGAGTTGAAACTGAAAATATGACTATTTGAAAATATAGCTATTCATGCCAAACACTGTCATTTATTTAAGGATAGTGATCATATGAAGCCATTTATTATCACATAGTGGTTTGGCTCCTTTTTAAATCATAACAGAAATCAACCAAATGGCCCTGATCAAAAGTTTACAAACCCTGGAATGTTTGGCATTGATACAGACACACAAGGTGACACAAACAGGTTAAAATGGCAATAAAAGTCGTGCCAATGCCACATAAAAGCCCAATTACAATATGCCCGACAACACCTTGACATGCCTCACAGCTTCTGGAACACTGTAATCTGGAGTGACGAGACAAAAGTAAAGCATTATGGCCACATCCATAAGTGCTATGTTTGGAGATGGGTCAGCATGGCCTATAGCGACAGGAATACCATCCCCACTGTGAAGCATGGTGGTGGTTCACTGATGTTTTGGGGATGTGTGAACTCTAAGCCCTGGTTCACACTGTGTAGGCTTGGTTGCGGGTCCGAGAATCGCATCTGTTCCCACACCACTTGCAGCCAAATTGTTCTGCTCTTAGGAGGCACATGGGGCTGCCATTCATTCTGAATGGCACCCCCATGCATCTTAGCCTGCAACATGTTTGCAAATGTGGGAACCGCAGGGAAGTTGTATGGTCAAAAAGACGATAAAGACCGTATGATTTCCCAGCAGCAGCATTTTTAAAAAAGGTGCATGCACCTTTATTTTGTGGAACACACAGGCACGGCAGCCCATTCAAATAAATGGGCTGCCATGCCCAGATAAACATGGTTTGCACAAGTGTGAACGAGGGCTAAAAGGCACAGGGAATCTTGTGAAAATTGATGGCAAGATGAATGCAGCATGTTATCAGAAAATACTGACAGACAATTTGCATTCTTCTGCATGAAAGCAGCGCATGGGGTGCTCTTGGACTTTCCAGCACGACAATGACCCTAAGCTTTAAGTCAAGATGACTCTCCTGTGGTTACAGCAGAAAAAAGTGAAGGTTCTGAGTGGCCATCACAGTCGTCTGACCTTAATATCATTGAGTCACTCTGAGAAGATCTCAAACATGCGGTTCATACAAGATGACCAAAGACTTTGCATGCCCTGGAGGCATTTTGGCAAGACAAAATGGGCAGCTATGCCACCTGCAAGAATACTAGGCCTCGTCGTCAACTATTACAAGACTGCACTCTGCCGTTGATGCTAAAGGGGGCAATACACAGTATTAAGAACTAAGAGTATGCAGACTTTTAAACAAGGTTCAATTCATTTGTTTACTTGTTATGTTTTGTTTTATGATTGTGCCATTCTGTAATGGCCTACAGTTGAATATGAACCCCATAAGAAATAAAAGAAAGGTTTTTTGCCTGCTCACTTATGCGGTCTTTACAATTGGTACATACTATTACCAATTCTCCAAGGGTATGCAAACTTTTTAACACAACTGTACATTAACCTCCCTGGTGGTATGATTATGTCAGGAATTTTGTACCAAAAGCGGTACCATTTTTTTGCATGGAAATTTGGTGTTATGTATTGTAGGCCTGCAATTCTTAGTAATTACTTACTTAATAAATACTAATAAAAAATAATAAATTTAATTCAATAATATAATCAAACCAAAAACACTGAAATTTGAAATATAGCGCCAAGTTCGCACATCACTGAGCAAAGTCGCAAAATTGTTTTCAGTGTCTGATGACGAATTTCCCCCATGAATCATTATCACTCAATTCTGCAAGTAGTTCCGATTTACTATCGCTGTTCTCTAGCCGGTCTAAAATCGATTTTGACCTAAAGGGACGCTTTTTGGACGCCGTGGACTTTTCTAAGTTTCCAGGCAGAAAGAACAGTCAAAATGCAGGCAGGGCACAGGACAAAGCAGTAGGGACAAAGTGTATGTGAAATGCTTTGATACAGGAATGTTTTGCTATGAAATAATCGTTTTAAAAAAACAATTCATTTTTTTAAAATTTTCAAATTTGCCGCCCGTACTTCCCGACGTCACAGGGACCGGAACACGGAAGCCAGATGCTGGCATCAGCCGGAGGAGAGATGGCCGGGGACGCTGCAGGGGACGCATCGCGGGAGCAAAGGACAAGGTAAGCGCTGTAGGGAATCCCTGTGGAACGCCGCATGGTAAGCCCGAGTGTAGCTCGGGGTTACCGCTTTTGGTACTGAAACTTTACCCCGAGCTACACTCGGGATACCGCCAAGGAGGTTAAAAAGCTTTTAATACAAGACAAAGAATTCCCAAAGCACAATGGATTATCAAAGATCCATCAAAGCAGGAGTAGACAGACTTTTGTCACACTTTATTTGATGGAAACCATGGAGAGAGTGGTCTGATAAGGGGTGACCGAGTCACTGCCACGACTTATTTATTGGTGTGTGTGTGCATTTGAACTTTAGCTATTGATCTCTGTAAACAACAAGTTGTTTGGTGATTCCATCTTAAATTTTCTATTAAATCTTTAAAGTGGTATTAAACCTAAAAGCAAACATTCATTATACTGCAGCTTACCGATTTCCAGATATGATAGCTGCATTCATTTTCTTTTTTTAGGCTCTCTTCCCTTTTTTTAACCTTGTGATCCTGCCAGTATGTTTACTGTTTTTCAAGAAAACAAGCTGTCTTGCAGATGTAGCAGTTAGAGAATTCAGAGAAACCATTTACCACTGACAAGGAGTGCTTGCTATGATCAGCTTCTGTTTATATATGCAAAAACCTTAAATCCAAAATGAAAACAACTGCTGCTGTAATGGCTTAAAGTGTGATGTGGAGTTTGGCGCCATATATTTATATAATATATATATGTATTTATATTTGCTAGTCCTGGGGTGGGCAACTGTGGCCCTCCAGCTGTTGAACTACAAGTCCCATCATGCCTCTGCCTTTGGGAGTAATATGCTTGTAACTGTCAATTTTGCAATGCCTCATGGGACTTGTAGTTCTACAACAGCTGGAGGGCCACAGTTGCCCACCCCTGTGCTAGTCCATTTAAAAGAGAAGTTCACCTTTATGAACAAGTTACACCCATATTTAGGGTGTAACATGTTCAGCATCAGACCCCTCCCCCCACCAGTGACGATTGTGCGCAATAGAGACATAGATGGTGTAAGTGACAGCCATCTTGTTAGGTCTCAGCCATGTTGTTTCTCCTGTCCTCCCTTTTGAATGGAATGTATAGCTGTAAGTTGAACGGAGGTCGAAAGGGCCTCTTATCCTAAATAAAACACAGCTAGATAAAGCTCCAGGGCTGTAAACCGCTAATTAGTCTGGTTCAAGGGGTCTGCTTTGAAAACCATTTTCTCTGCCCGATCGTAAAACAATACCTCAGTCAGTCATGACCTGTGAGGCTATTAAGGCTAGAGAGTGCCATAAAACGTACATTCCACATGAGACATTTTTTATACATTTCATAAAGTTCAGCAGGAACTGGGCACATTAATATTAGGTATATATTTGGATAGATCATTTTAATAAGAATCAAAAAAGGCCATACATGACTATATTAGCAACTAGGAGAGAGAAGAAGCAGTCTCTTTCCCCCTGGGTGACAAGGATACGATGTGTTTAGTATCCCTGCGTTTGAAATAGAATTCTGAATATTAATCTGCCAGTTGCTAGGATGCTACCTGTACCTATTGGAGGTTATTAACCTTAGTATGAAATTGGAAGGCGACTTGGTCATAACCTTGGTTACCGCCTAACACCCATCCCCAACCTGGATGATTGGTCATTTGTTCTCAGGCGACACCCCTTTAAAATGATAGAAAAAAAACTGACAGCCTGGAGAAGACAGCTCTCGTTTAACAGCAATCAGGAAACATCTAACAGACTTGAGAACCTTTTTGTTTGGACAATTGGACTCTGCTCAACCCAAGGACATTGCAAGTATTCTGCCTTCTGAACTCCTTTCTCTCATTTCTCTGTTGTTTTATTGCTCTCTTTATATCTTTGTTACATCTTTTCCTGTAAATATATTAATTGCACCAATTTGAGCTTTTTAGTAATAAATCCTATTTTGAAAAGCGTTGAAACTGTCTCTAAAGCTTTTAATGCAAACTAAAGAATACCTGTCTCTTGAAGAGTGCTACTGTATGTAATAATCCTCTGAATATATCTGTCTGTGGTGACAGTGTGTATTACAGATGCTTATGCTGATATAGTGTTACTGCTAAGATTTGTGAGTTTCCTCCTCTGTAAAAAGGTGGTGGTGGCAGTGTGAAGGGTTAATTGCGTAATTAACAATCGCTGTCAGGCTGCTGGCACATAGATTGTAGTCCCCGTTAGCCGGAAAATCTTTGTACAGGACGCAGCTGAGTGGCATTGTTATGCAAGTGACAGTGCAGTGCGAGATCGGCTGGTCCTTTGGTCACGAGTTGGTGAAAAGGGTGGGGGTCAGATGCCGCGTTCTGTCACACCCCCTCCTTGTAGCAGCGAGCTGGGGAACATCTACCCATACTCGCTGCCACAATTCAAAACAGCGCAGCTGTGCAGGGCTCTACCCACACAGTCACAAAAAAATGTGCATTTATTATTTTTTGTTAAAAGGTGAACTTATCCTTCAACACTCCCCTCCCCCCAGACTGACAATGCTGCTGTCCAGAGTTGTCTTATGTGCTCCTTCATCTAGAGTGTAGGAACCCTAATGCAGGTGGGGTTACTAGCCAGATCACCAGGTAAAAAAAAAAACAGTTAAGCTTATTTTAGCTTATTTATAGCCTCATCCATAGTCAAACAATATACATATACTTTATCCAAAAGCCCATAAAGGCGTTAAAGTGATATTAAAGGCTTTTTTTTTAAAATAAACAAACTTATCATACTTACCTGCTCTGTGTAGTGGTTTTGCACAGAGCAGCCCCGATCCCCCTCCTAAAAAGTCCCCTGCCGGGGCTCCTGGCCCCTTGCTCCTGTCGAGTGCCCCCAGAGCAAGAAGCTTGCTCTGGGGGCACCCAAGCAGGCTCACTCCCGAGCCACTGCATTGCATGTATTTAAAACATCACACAGAATCCTCCTGCGCTCTTATGTAATATAACAGAGAGAAAAAAATTAAAAATATATAAAGGAATAAATAAAATATGAAGTACTACAAAGCTGCTAACATCTAATCCTATACCAATAGGTCCCAAAAACATAAAAAGCAATAAATGATGTAGCGCTCATGTAAATACAAACATTCAATAATGATGACCACACAGTGAAAAATACACACGTCACAGATGGTGGATGATTTAGATAAGGGGGGTGTCCCCTAATCCACATGGGGATAATAAATACGTGACCCCTAATCCACAATCAGGGACATAAACAGGCGTTAAGTGAGTCCCTATACCGGGATCAAATGCTTCAGTGTGAGTGAAAAACAGCACTGCAAATCAATCACAAGACAGTCCAGTGATCTGTGTAACATTCCTTCTGATCATGCAAATAGAAAGGAACGTATATGAACCAACACACCCTGGATGTGATCCAATAATGGCTGTAATGGCCTCTCACCTCCACCCTGCGACCCTGCAGGGCCACAGAGCTATATTATAATCACCGCTGGGCCTCTCAGGAAGCAGCACTCCTCAGGAACTGGTAACTTGAAAAAGGCTCTTCAGTAATCAGTATCCACCTTTCCAAATTCTCCTTGGGGACCAGTGAGCAGGATGAATCATAACTCAAATCCCCATAAAACAAGAGAAGAGAACATCCTCCATAGTGTAAACCGCTTTATTGTTTAAGGGAAGTAAGTGAAATGTAAACTCACATATGTGCAGCTGTAATCAAAGCATTCCCCCATATGCTAGGTGTAATCATAGGGAAAAGGTGTTCCAAGATGGCGTCACGCCAGATGTACATCACCACGCTGAGCCGTCGACTCGTTGCGTCACGTGACCTCGTGACTTCATCAGGACTGCGTGATTGGTCAAATGTACTTCCTTATATAGGCGGAGGATTAGTCCAATCAGAAAAAACTGGGCGGGATCCCAGCGGCCATATTTTTGTAGCCCGTCGGATCCGACGGTGATAAAAAAACTAATCATAGGCATATGACAGCATACATAGGTGAATGACCCAATATTCGAAGAAATGCCTACCAACAGCCCAGAAATAAAGTGCAAAAAATGCAAACATTAAAAACAATATTTTATTAATTAAAAGGTACATAAAAACTCCCAATAAAAACAATGCATGGTAAATACATGGTGAATGTAATACACCCATGCTATTCTAATATCCCATGCCAGGGAATAAAATATATAAATAACTAATTCACCAAAAAATAGTGCAGTATAAACTAGAATAAAAAGTGGAATGTATATTACTAACTGGTATATCTATAAAAAAAAAAAATATATATATATATATATATATATATATATATATATATATATATATAAAAACAAAGATGGACATATATGGCCCTAAAAAAAAAAGGGACAAGGATCACCTTTAAATTATGCAAAACACTCATCATATTTACATAGATATGCCAGAATAAAAATAAATAATTGAGTAAAAATGTACATCTCATATACACAAATATATAGACCAGGCTCTAGATGATACAAAGAGAAAAATAAAAAATATATATAGCATAAAAAATCCCTTAGCAATCGCTAATAAAACTATTTAAATCAAAATCAATGTTTAACCCTGTTGGTGTGTGTGTGTGTCTATAATAAAAATCCATTTAGATTCTGCCTGACTTAAAGTTCTAATTTTGTGACTCCCTCTCCAGCGTTTACGGAACTTCTCCACTCCCCAAAAAGGACAAACTAGAGGGGTCTTTATTGTGATACTGCAAAAAATGTTTAGAAACACTGTTTCGGAAAACCTTTACGGATGTTTTGCACATGTTCTCTTAATCTGACCCACAATGGTCTTTTTGTCCTACCCACGTACTGGAGACCGCAGCCACACTCTGAAACAGACTACCCCCTCAATTCTGCAGGATATAAAATCCTTAATCTGAAATTCCCTTTGATTACTAGTGGCAATAAATGAACTGCGTTTAGGGTTGCATCCTTTGGTGGCTTTACATGTGTAGCACATTTTACAAGGGAAAAACCCTTTTTGATCTAGAAACGTGATTTTTCTATTGTTTGGTGGATCCAAAACATTATGCACTAATGTAGATCTCAACGTGGGGGCTTTCCTATATACATATTTAGGTGCTGATGGTA